TCATTGCTCGATAAGGCCGCAACTATTAAGTCTTCATCTTTGCAGGTACATATTGTTTAGTGTTATCATTTTATCCATTTTCTAGGATCCGTTTCTTCTTTTAATGCTAACATTGTATTGCAATTTCGTGAAAGTGTTCATCAGTATTCTCCAAAATTACTCTAGCAGTTAATCCCAATGAAGAACTGTCTAGAAGTGTTTCTTAATCATCTTTCGAATTATTGCTGTCGATTAAAAATCAATTATTTTCGTCAAAAGATGCTCTCATGATAAGGATGTTTGCTGTTGTGTTCGCTTTCATAAGTAATCCATTATGAAAAACAGTGGAACAATGTTTTTTCAGCTTGTTTATGTGGCTGCATTTGTAACATCTTGTTGGAGTAATACGCCGTATCGAACGAGTAAACCGTTTAATCCGTTATGGAGCGAAACGTTTGAATTCGATCGTTCTGCAGATCTCGGTTGGAAGTCAATTGCTGAGCAGGTAAATTGTATTGTTCTTATTATGTACAAGAGGATGTGAGTGGCATGATTTATTTACCCTCTATCAGATTGGTTAAGAAACGAATAAATGATGTTATTTCAAGGGTATATATTCCATGAATAACGTTTGCCTCGAACGCACTTTATTCACCGGAGTATATTTTAGTATTCAGTGTGCATTCTCACTTTAATGGAATATTAAATGGTGAATGAATGCTTCATTGTAGGTAAGTCATCACCCACCTATAGGAGCACTGCACGCTGATGGACGTGGTTGGGTTTACGATGAAGACATGTGTGTTATTTCACAATTTCAAGCAACTGCTATGAAACTCTATCCAGATGGATGGGCCGTGCTCTCCTTTCCAGTGAGTGCTTTTAGGATGATCCGTTCAAATAATCTTCCTTAATTAGGCCTGTTACCAACTTCACCTGTTTTGCTTCATTATTATATACCTGTTACCGTTCATTCTGAATATATCAGTTCAGTTTCGCTTCTCGACAATCATGCTTTTTCAATCAGCTTTAATAAGTTGTTCGACGGGAAATGCGGAACATGTCTCTTCTTAAAGTACAGAATTTTGTTTTCATATTTCAGTTATCCTGTTTGTTGCTTCTGTTTAGAATACGGGAACAACGTATATTTGGACGAAGAAGGACGTTCAAACTATCGTTAGAGGATTCATCGTCGGTCCGCTGATTGTTCACAATGAAGGCGTTTGCGTTATCAAGGTTCAATCTTTATTACTTGCATTTTTGTTCACATACCGTTTGTTTATTTCAGATTACTGTTAACGTAATGAATAGGGTGAAATGTGGCAAAACTGACAAATGTTGTTATTTTTTTAAACTAATGTTTTCAATGAACATTTTCTGTTGTTTAACGGCTTACAGAATGGCTAAATTGATAGTAATATTGCTTTTAATGATATGAGTAGTAATACTGTCCAATGAAATTTACTTTCTTATGCCAGCTGAGGAATACCCGATTAGATGTGCAAAATCAAAATCTACAATTGGTTTTTCTTTGCTAACCACCAAATGTTTTGCAAACAGCGCTCGAAACAAACTTTTCTCGAACAGTTCCCAAAAAATGGTAAACATCTGCTGGAGAAAAACGGAATTTATTTTTGGATTCTACGTAT